TATGTGTCAGGCATCGTGGTAGGTACTGGGCACCCAACTGTCCTCACCTCTTGGAAAAGTGGTGACTCTAGCATATTTGTCATTCTCAGCTACTCATTTTTATTTAATTTAATTAATTTATTTATTAAAAAAATTAAAATGTTTTTATTTATTTCTGAGAGAGAGAAAGAGAGACAGTGTGAGCAGGGGAGGGTCAGAGAGAGAGGGAGATACAGAATCTGAAACAGGCTCTAGGCTCTGAGCTGTCAGCAGTGAGCCCGACGCGGGGCTCAAACCCACAAACCATGAGATCATGACCTGAGCCGAAGTCGGACGATTAACCGGCTGAGCCACCCAGATGCCCCTCAGCTACTTATTTTTAACACCCCCTTCCTCTACAGGACAGAATTGTTTTCAGGAATAAACATGTCATAATCAAAAATAATTATTCTCTTGCTTTCCATTTTAAGATCATTAAGAAAACTATACTTTCTTTTTTTTAAAATCATTCTTGAGAGAGAGAAAGAGAGAGAGACAGTGTGAGCAGGGGAGAGGCAGAGAGAGAGACACACACACACAGAATCCAAAGCAGGCTCCAGGCTCTGAGCTGTCAGCACAGAGCCCAATACAGGGCTTGAACTCACAAACTGTGAGATCAGGACCCAAGCCAAAGTCGGATGCCTAACTGACCGAGCCCCCCAGGAGCCCCAAACTATATTTTTAAAGATATAAAAATTGGGTAAGTTATTTTACGTATGAATTAAAATTCACACTCACCTGACAAAATATTACACTTGGCAGTTTGTGCTGTGTTGCTGTTTTAAATTTTAAACACCGATAGGGCTCCTGGGGGGCTCAGTTGGTTAAGCGCCCTCCTCTTGATCTTGCAGTCTTTTGAGTTCAAGCCCCGAGTTGGGCTCTGTGCTGAGCGTGAAGCCTACTTAAAGAAAAGAAAAAGAAAAGAAAAAATATTTCTAAGCGCTCATGAAAAAGTCAGCAGTCACACATAGTGACAGTTGAAGTGACTGAAGTTTGGTTTATTCGTCTCCTGGGGAGACAGGAGCTTGCTCGGTTCACTCCTTGCATCGACCTGGTATTACCTCTGGGAATGGTACGCCCCCTTGGGGACTAAAAAAATAAAAATAAGAAAGTGCTATCTGTGTTTATTTCACATCCATGGCTTACATGGAGGAGTGGGTAATACCACCAGGGTTAGAGCCAGGCTACTCCCTACCCCAGCCTGAGCAACTCCCAGTGCTAGCCATTTATTCTGTTGCCCAGCTTACCTTTGGAAGGAACCTAAGGACCCCTGAAGGACTCAGTTAGTTGTGTCCGACTTTGGCTCAGGTCATGATCTCGCTGTTTGTGAGTTCAAGCCCTGCATCAGGCTCACTGCTGTCAGCACAGAGCCCTCTTCGGATCCTCTGTCCCTCTCTCTCTCTGCCCATCCCCTGCCTACTCACTGTCTCAAAAATAAATGAACACTAAAAAAGAAAGAAAAGAAACCAACCTATGTAGCTGAGCCACGTGGTGGATTAGGAGCCAGCTGTGTAACTGAGTTTAGATCAAATTCAATAAAGAATATAATTTTTCTAAAGGATAAGCAATACATGGTGCTCATTTGAAGAATGAACAGATTATTAGAACATCAAGGTAAGCGCGACAGTTGCTTGGAACTTACACTAGCAGTTCTTGATCTTTTTGGTCTCGGGACCCTTTACATTCTTAGAAATTATGGGGGCACCACCGGGGGCTTTTATTTCTGTGAATTGTATCTATTCCCATTACCACACGGCACATTAAAGCGGAGAAAGTTTTAAAAATGTATTTGTTAAGTTGTTAAAAGCATGGGGCACCTGGGTGGCTCAGTCGGTTAAGCGTCAGGTCATGATTTTGCCATTCGTGGGTTCGAGCCCCGCATCAGGATCTCTGCCAGCAGCTCAGAGCCTGGAGCCTGCTTTGGATTCTGTGTCTCCCTCTCTCTCTTCCCTTCATTCAATCATGCTCTGTCTCTCTCTCTCTTCTCTTAAAAAGAAAATAAACATTAAAAAAAAAAAAACAGTCGGAGCATCTGGGTGGTTAAGTGGCCGACCTCGGCTCAGGTCATGATCTTGCTGTCCATGGGTTTGAGCCCTATGTCGGGCTCTGTGCTGACAGCTCAGAGCCTGGAACCTGTTTCAGATTCCGTGTCTCCCTCTCTCTCTGCCCCTCTCCAGCTCGTGCTCTGTCTCTCTCTGTCTCAAAAATAAATAATTTGTTAAAATTTTTTTAAATAAATAAATAAAAATAAAAAAAAAAACCCAATCATCAACCTACCATTATGTTAACATAATGCATTTTAATGAAAAAATTAGTCATTTGAAGGCTTGACCGGGACTGATTGACCCACTTCTTAGGTGACTCATGTGTTGATTGGCCCGAGGCTTTGTCTCTATGTGGCACTTCATGGGCAACTCACGACACGGCAGCTGGCTTCCCCAGAGCTAATTACCCGCAAGGAAATGTGTCACCAAGGTGAAGACCACAGTGTCATTTATTATCTAATCTCAGAAGGGACTGTGCTTTTTCTTTCTGATCACGTCTTGGGTTTTGGTAGAATGTTTATGTTGTTTCACAAAGTAAGTTGGGAAAGAGAGTTCGCTCTCTTCGTATTCTTTGGAAGAATCAGAAATGAAATAAAAATGAAAATTCGGCATATAGGATTATTCTGAATTTTCTCCTTTTGCCCTTGTCTGCTTGTGTAAGTTGTATTCTTTTTCTTTCCTCCGCGGTTTCAAATTTATTGGTACATGTTGTTAATTTACATTTTCTTCTTGCTCCTTTAATGGCTGTAAGATTCGAGTCATGCCCTCAATGTTCCTGGTGTTGACAATTTGTGCCTACTCTGGTTTTTCCTTGATCTTGCCAATGAATTGATTAATTTTGTTAGCTTTTAAAAATAAAACAACTTTTGGCCTTGAGGATCCTTTATAGTGTATATTCTTATCTCATTGGTTTATGCCCTCACATTTAAAACTTTCTTCTTTCTACTTTCTTTGAGCCCAATCTGCCAATCCTTTCCTAACTTCTGAGGGAGATGTTTGGCTTCCTGACTCAAATTTTCATCTTTCCCAATGTAAGTATTCAAGCCCCTTAAATCTCTCTCTCTTTTTTTTCCTTCCCATTCCCCAGAGATGTCCATTGCTAACAATCTGATATATTTACTTTTATTTTTATATGAATAGAATCCTACCACATATGCTATTTTGCAACCTATTCTGTTCTTAACACATATTTTATTTTTATTATTTTTTAAAGTTTATTTGTTTTGAGAGAGAGAGAGAGAGAGAGAGAGCAGAGGAGGGGCAGAGAGAGAAGGAAGAGAGAATCCCAAGCAGGGTCCTAGTTGTCAGCACAGAGCCTGATGCCAGGCTTGACCTCACGAATGGTGAGATCATGACCTGAGTGGAAACCAAGAGTCGGATGCTGAACTGACTGAGTCACCCAGGCACCCCAAGATGTATTGTAAATGTCCCATTAGAGGAAGCTGAATAAAGGGGTCACGTGGTATTTATTATACTTTTTGTACTATTTTTGCAGCTTCTTATGAGTCAATACATATTTCAGAGTAAATTTTTTACTGTTTTTAAAATTTTTTAATGTTTATTTATTTTTGAGAGAGAGAGGAGAGGGAGACAGAGTACGAGCAGGGGAGGGGCAGAGAGCAGGGGAGACACAGAATCGGAAGCAGGCTCCAGGCTCTGAGCTGTCAGCACAGAGCCTGACACAGGGCTCGAACCCACGAACTGTGACATCATGATCTGAGCCGAAGTCGGACATTGATCGGACTGAGCCACGCAGGCACCCCTAATTTTTTTTCTTTAACAATAAGCTTTTAACTTAAAAAAAATTATCTTGGGTATAGTGCCATTTTGGTACACTAAAAATTGGCATTATCAGATTATTCGGAATTTTCTCTTTCTGTCTGTCAGCTTTTGTAAGTGGTGTTCTTCTCGAAAAATTTTCTTAAGTCCCTTGCATACTGGAGTGTGTTGGCCCCAAATTGTTCGTTTATATTCTACCTCATTCTGTTAGATGCATTACTAGTATTTTATTGTCAGGACACTCGACAGTTCCTTTAACTTGTCATCTACAGACGGCATTCAGGCTGAACCCTGGATTTTCAGTGATGCGGTGATGAGGCAGGTGGACAAATGGTTGTAGGTCATCTCTGGCTGTTGTGTGGTTTGGCAGCCACCGTGACCGGTTTCCATTGTCCTTGCGTATAAGGCTTGTGTTAAACTCTATGGTCTCGGATGACTGCGTCCAGGAACATTCTGTGTGAGCAGATTTGCATTTTTGTAAGAAATAGCTAGTCAGTGGGCGCCTGGGTGGCTCAGTCGGTTGAGCGTCCGACTTCGGCTCAGGTCATGATGTCACGGTTCATGGGTTCCAGCCCCGCGTCGTCGGGCTCTGTGCTGACAGCTAAGAGCCTGGAGTCTGTTTCAGTTTCTGTCTGAAAATTTTTTCTCTCTCTCAGAAATAAATAAAACATTTTAAAAAATTAGAAAAACAAAAAGAATTCAGTACTTCATTCCAAGATGAAGCCAGACTTGTACTGAATGGTAATATTTCCCATCATTATACATATTCATGTTGATATATCTTTTTTTTTTAAGTTTACTTCTTTATTTGGAGGAAGGAAGAGAGAGAGAGAGAGAGAGAGAGAGAGCATGTGTGTGAGCTGAGGAGGGGCAGAGAGAGAGAATCCCAAGCAGGCTCCACGCTATCAACGCAGAGCCCGGTGCGGGGCTCGATCCCACAACTGTGAGATCATGCCATGAGCCAAAACCAAGAGTTAGACACTGAACCAACTGAGCCACCCCCGTGCCCCTGCTATTTTTTAATATAACAAGCTTAGGAGCCCCTTGTAATGAGCAGGGCGCTGTGACACAGGTATCGGGAAACAAGTGAATCAGGCATCCTCTGCACCATCCGAACCCCTCTGTCTACACCAGCAGTTTTTAGCCTCTTTGGCAGCCATGGACCCCCTTGAGAAGCCGATGAAGACTGTGGAAATAGGAACAGGTGCATGTGAGATGTCCTGTGGTGAGGAACGCAGTCATCCCTACAGTACTTCTCACGAGTCCTGGAGGAGAACGCACCCAATGCTCTCACCCCCACCCCCCGCCCTGTAGTGAGCCGACTCCGTCTTGGACAGAAGAGGTAATATCACAGTGCACTCAGCTGGAAGCCGGAAGAACTCTTGCCGGAGGCTGGCTCTGGGCGGGGTCCAGGCGTCCCTGAAGGATGGACAGTGTTGGCGAGGGAGCGATGAGAGAGCCGCGAGAATCTTTCTGGTCACCAGCCGGGCACCTCTGCTCTGACTGGGGCTCAACTTTATTTTATAATTAAAATAAGTGTTTGGGGGGCGGTGCAGAAGTGGCATTTGCCTGAGACAATGATTTCTGATGACAAATTACTTTGATGCGTAAGAATTTCCCGGAACATAGATTTGTAGAAGACTCCTGCATAACCCTTATCAATAGTGATTGAGGTGGGTGATTTAGATGCTTATCAGATGGGGAAGGAAGGTGTCCTTAGCATGCAAAACAATGCTTTTAACATAAAAAGGGTGAAGTTACTTCTTTGTGACCAGGGGCCAATAGCTTGTTTGTTTAAGGAGAAGTGTTAAGGAAAACGAGTCTTTCAGGAAACACCTTTGCTCCCATAATCACAAAAGAAGAAGTTCCTCAATAGGTTCCTTCACAGGGTGCAATCAGCATATTCAAGGCCAGAATAAGTCACTCCGAATAGAATACTGATCACAAATGCCTTGTGGGGGCCGGTGCTCCAAGCAGAAACAATTGGGTGGGGGTAGATATCTGTCCTTAACTCTAAATTAGGCTCTTTGTCTCAGAGCCAGCCTCATTGTAACTCTTGTGTTCTTAACCCCCTTTATTATCTAAGTCTTGGATCTGCAAGGTCCATAGGAAGAGCCTTTTGACAATCATCCACAGTTCTTTCATCTAAAATCTCTTTTGAAAAGGCAGGAATATGCTCTTCCTTATGAGGAATCTGTGTAGGGAATATCGGTCTGATCTGGATATTGTGAGACCTGGTCAATACCCGCAGGCTCATTTCCAACATGAGCTAGTAGTTGCAGAAGGAGGTACAGTTTTCGTTTCTCATGGCAGGAGCTGTGCAAACACTGCCATTTCCTCGCTGTGACTGTCATCCAGCGAGGCCAGTGCGGCTCCCAGCAAACTCTGACCAGAATCCATGACCAGAACCCAAGTCCATGACTTGTTCTGTTTTGCCAAATGGAGTGGGTCACTGGTGTGAAATGCCACAGGCAACGTTTGCCCATGATCCTGGGGTCTTCCATCCAGGCATGAAAAGTTCTGACCAGTGATCAGGAAGGATGACCTTTGTATCTGGACATTTTTACATTTTCGAAAGGATTTCTCTCTTGTCTCTCCTCCCTTCTGTTCCCCCGCTTTCTCACCTAGAACACTTTTGTTTATAGGACTCATCCCCCATTAAATGGTATATTCCTCGAGGAAAGAGACACAGTTGGTTTCTTTCCATTTCCTCACTGCCTGGAGCCATGTCCGGGATGGTCGGCACTTGCTATTGAAGGAGTGCAAGTTCATCCTGCAAGGAAAGAGATTGGAGAATGAAGCTGTTATTAAACATGTTGTTCCATGGGGTGCCTGGGTGGCTCAGTCAGTTGAGCGTCTGACTTCGGCTCAGGTCATGATCTCACAGTCCGTGGGTTCGAGCCCCATATTGGGCTCTGTGCTGACAGCTAGCTCAGAGCCTGGAGCCTGTTTCGGATTCTGTGTCTCCCTCTCTCTCTGATCCTCCCCTGCTCGTGCTCTCTCTCTCTGACTCTCAAAAATAAATAAAAAAACAACAACATGTTGTTCCACAGCTCATGTTCTGCCCTCAGAGATGATCTCTCGTGAAAAGCGTACTGCCCCACCTCAACCAGTACGTTCCACTGTTCCGTATAGGCCACTCTCTGGAGCTCAGTGTGGTTCCACACTCACTGGAGGCTGTTACACACGTGCATAGGCTCTTCCTAACATTCAACTCCACCTTGGTGGGCGGTTCTGACCCACAATGGCAGCCAGTGGGGCCAGACTTCAACAGAGAGGCTTAGGGAGAGTATAACGGCACACTAAAATGTCAGTTTTATGAAAGCTCAATGTTTTTAAGGAAATGGTTGACAAGATAGAGGTCATTTGGGACTTTATGGAAAGTGTGTAATAATATACTTCTAAGTATTGCTCTCCAGCTGCCTCCCAGAGGTTTTGATATGTGTTATTTTCATCTTCCTTTAGGTCACGCCATTGTCTAATTTCCATTGTGATTTCTTCTTTGACCCGCGATTACTTAGAAGCGTATTTCTGAATGTCCAGAATCAGGGATTTTCTAGTTATATTTTTGTTGTTCGCTGCTAACTTCACTGCATGGGGGCCAGAAATTGTGCTCTATATTATTTAAGTTCTTTGAAACTTTGGACACTTGTTTTCTGAACCAGCATTTGTAATGGTCTGGGTATGTTTGTTTAATTTTATTTTTTTAATGTTTATTTTTGAGAGAGAGAGAGACAGAAAGAATGTGAGCGAGGAAGGGGCAGAGAGAAGGAGACACAGAATTGGGAACAGGCTCCAGGCTCTGAGCTGCCAGCGCAGAGCCCGATGCGGGGCTTGAACCAGTGAGTGAGATCATGACCTGAGCTGAAGTCAGACGCTTAACCGACTGAGCCACCCAGGCGCCCCTGTAAGTTTACTTTTTTTGCAATGTCTGATAACTCCAATACTGAAGTCTTGTGGGTTGTTGAGGGCTTTTCTGTTTTGTTTTGTTTTGTTTTGTTTTTGTCTTACTTGTGTCATTCAAAAAACATTATCTCCATATGTGCTAAATATTGTATTTACAGAATAGCTTGCAGAAATAATCTGAGATCTAGGCTTCCTCCAGAGGTGAGAATTTATGTTTGGTCCTGCTAGGCACCTAAAGCATAGCCAATGTGTGACTGCCTCGCCTCAGTTTCCAAGAGATGGTTAGGAAGCCTAGCGGCCTAGCCTGATTCAGTTTCATCCTTTTTCCTGTTGTAGGGCTTTGAAGTTCCAAGGAAAAACAAAGAGATTCGCCAGGAACTTCCCCTCCACCTCCCCCCCCCCCCACCTCTGCCCAAGGTGGATCTTGAACTCTAATATCTATTCTGCTAACCCTATAAAGCTGAGAAAAGCATGGCCAGAGGAGAAGAAACCTATTCCTTAGCCTCCATTACACATTGAATCCTGCCCCGGTAACTCATTATCTTGGTGGCCACCTGAGTTCTTCAAGCAGATTTGTTTCTTTTTGTTCAGTTTTTCTCGTTGTCATCAATGAGCTAGTAGAGAAGGCATGGGCTCTTACAGTAAGAGCAGGGTATCGATAATTTTTACTGAGCTCAAGAAAATAAAGGTGATAGAGTTTGTACTCAATGTGGTGAAGCAATTCGTAGTTATTATTATATAATTGCAGTTGATCCTCAGAGAAAAATGGCGGTTATGGGCACTGACCCTTCTTTCACCTCCTGTATGGTTGAAAATCCATGTATCACTTTTGACTCCCTCAAAAACTTAATGGTCTACTGTTGACTGGAAGTCTTACTGATAGCATTAAGATTTTGATTAACACATACTTTATATGTGTTATATAATGTATTCCTTTTTTTTTTTGAGAGAGAGAGAGAGAGCAAGTGAGAGTGAGCATGAGTTGAGGAGAGGAGCGGGAGAGCAGTAGAGAGAAAGAGGATTTAAAGCAGGCTCAATGCTCAACATGGAGCCCCACTCAGGGCACAAATCCATGACCCCAGGATCATGACCTAAGCCAAAATCAAAAGTGAGACACTCAACTGACCCAGGTGCCCTCAAAGTTCTTTTTAATTTCATTTTTTCTTACCTTTCAAGTGAAGCAAATATTTTAAAAAAGTTTTTGTTTATTTATTTTGAAAAAGAGAGAGAACAAACAAGGTAGGGGTGGCGAGGGGCGGGGGGGCGGACAGAAAATCAGAAGCAGACTCCGTGCTGACAGCAGAGCCTGGTGCGAGGCTCAAACTCATGAACCACGAGATCATGACTTGAGCCAAAGGCGGACACTCAACCAACTGAGCCACCCAGACGCCCCCGAAACAAATATTTTCTGTGTGTTTGCCTAGTAAATATATCCGTTCTTGGGTCAGTTGTTTTTTCATATTCCGTGCCTGTTTATTGATTGGCATCTCGATGTTTTTCACAGAAGTGAATTAAGATGAAGCCTTTACTCTCATATTTGTTAGGAACCATTTCAATAGTCCCATACTACCATTTTGATTTCAGTGTTTTCCACTGTGTAGATATTTAAAAGATTGGATGTATCCTGAAGCACTCTGCTCTTTCCCCTTGTTGGTGTTTCTCTGCCATAAAAGTGTTGTGGTTCACAACGGGATTTGTGTGACAAAGCAGACAGAAATTATACGATTACTTTCTTACGCAGAAGGAAAATCCTGACTAACCAGTTTCCATTGTCTGTGGAGACATGGGGACAGCTGGACCATCCCCATGAGGGTACCAGAGCCCCTCAGGGCCAGGAGCGACATCATCTTCCGGCTCAGGGCTCAGGCTGGTTCCTCCAGCTTCCACCTGGCCCCCAAGTTCCGCACCTGGAATATGAGGACTGTTTGGCAGGGGTGACTTGACACTGGTCAAGTGTCACTTGTGAACTTGTGACACTGAACTGGTGTGAAGTGAACTGGTGACACTTCAGCCCTTGCGGAGCCCAGGAACCCCTCGCCCTTTGCTCAGAAGCACAGTGTTGGGTCCTTGCCTCCTTCTGTAAGGTTTTCAGAAATACAGAAGCTGACAGCTCTACTTTCCCTTCCTATTCGGGGTTCTCTGTTCCCAGGGACAGATGAGCTGGCTGAGCCCCGGCCTCACCAGTGTCCTTCAGGAGAAACCTCCACCAGCAGTGTAAAAATCGGCCATGGCCGACATCCCCGCTCTTCTGGGCTCGGTGTTGTAGAAGCAAACATGTGGCTGACTCAGCCCTTCCCCCCACCCTCCGCCAGGCCAGCAGGACCCAGTGCATCCATGACCCGGCTTTGCCAGCTGGTCTCAGTCCCCGGGGCTGCCTCTTTCAGAGCTGCTGGGTGGTTTCAAGATGAAACATAGCTCCCCACACCCCACCCCACCCGCCGCCACACTGCTGTCCAAGGTGGAGAGGTGAGGGGTGCAGACCAAGAGGTGATACTGTTATTAGAGTTATAAGGGTTTGTGGTTTCCTCTCTCTGTCTCCACTTCCTTCCTGAAACCCCAAAAGAGACTTCTCAGGAAAGGAAGGGCCTTTCAGATGCAGGAGCATGGCCGGGAATGGCTCTTCCCAGGCAGGCTGGCCGCTGGAGGCAGGGATGTGGGTTGGACCCACAGGGGCCACTGAGGCACAGTTGGTATACTTAACGGCTAAGCTGGGCCCGCCATCCTGCAAACACTAAAAAAAAAAAAAAAAAAAAAAAAAAGCTCTACGTGACTTGAAGGGACAGGTTGCCACCAGCTGACACGGATGACTGACTCGTTTCCTTATTTCTCACTGACCTTACAAATTGCATTTTGGCCATTTCTTGAATGTTCCTCAAATACAGAATAGCAGACTCATATGAGTATAATTTTCACCAGTCCCCACATAAGAGCATAAAGAGTGTAGTTTTAACACTGCAGCCCACTTGTAGTTATTGGATACAAATTTGGCTGCTTACTGTTTTATTGGTAATGTCCCACGAAACACTTCCTTGTCATGACTAACTCACAAACCAGTCCTTAGCTGGAACCAGGTTTAGTGAAATCAGAGCTCCAAAGCTGAGACAGGTCTGATCACGTGGTTGAGCTTGAGTACAAGGAGTACGAAGAAGTAAAGGTGTATATTCTATAACTTGATTAATTTAAACACGTCTATCTTTGTCTGAATGTCATTTTATTTTTTTTTTAAATTTTTTTTTAATGTTTTATTTTTATTTCTAGGAAGGAGAGAGAGAGAGACAGACAGCGTGAGCAGGGGAGGGTCAGAGAGAGAGGGAGTCACCGACTGAAATAGGCTCCAGGCTCTGAGCTGGCAGTCAGCACAGAGCCCGATGCGGGGCTCGAACTCACGAACCACGAGATCATGACCTAAGTGAAAGTTGGACGCTTAACCAACTAAGCCACCCAGGCGCCCCTATTATTATTTTTTTTAATGTTTATTTGTTTTTGAGAGAGAGAGAGACAGAGCATGAGCAGGGGAGGGGGCAGAGAGAGAGGGAGACACAGAATCCAAAGCAGGTTCCGGGCTCTGAGCCATCAGCACAGACCCCGGCGTGGGGCTCAAACTCACTATCCGCAAGATCATGTCCAGAGCCAAAATCGGATGCTCAACCGACTGAGCCACCCAGGCGCCCCTCAAGAAAATAGATTTTCACAGAATTTTTCTTTCATGTTCCAACAGGTGTGAATTTCTATGGGTCCGCAAGACTTCAGTTTTACTCTTAGTACTTGGCATTGTGTTTTTGTGGATAAGTGTGTGGTTCACCTCCAAACAGGGACCCCCTCATTTTGCTCTGGCTGACCAGCCACTGAAGCTTCTGCCCGAGGAACGTCTCAGGAAACTCTTTACTTACGATGATCTCTGGTGAGGTTCAAGTTAGTCCACGTTGTTCTGATGTCTACATTGCTCACCCTATGGTTTACTGTGCCTTCTTGTGCCCACTTATAGTCACTTCCCTGCCTTCCCGAGCCTGTGCCTGTTGCTAAAGTGAACCAAGCTGGGGGGCCCAGGAAAGGGTTTGGTCTGCAGGGTGCACTGCACCGACCAAAGTCCCTTTAAACTACGAAGGGCCTGTTTGGCCAAAATTGTAAGAAAGATGCAGCCTTTCTATCCCGCTGGTCTCCTCTTATGGCGGGGCGGGGGGGGGGGGGGGGGGGGGANAGGGTGCACTGCACCGACCAAAGTCCCTTTAAACTACGAAGGGCCTGTTTGGCCAAAATTGTAAGAAAGATGCAGCCTTTCTATCCCGCTGGTCTGGGGGGGGGGGGGGGCGGGGGGGGGGGGGGGGGGGGGAAGGGGCAGGATGCCGCTGGTATTCATGTGACTCGAGTTTAAAGAAATTTGGTGCAGGGGATAATTCCAGAGAGGGGACCTTCTCCCCCTTCTCCATCCCCTCCCCTCCCCTCCCCCCTGCATCTCTGGGAGATGCTCCTGCTGGGATTCTAGAGCAGGGCATGTGTGGGTATGGGAAGGAGATTCATCCTGGGATTTAGATGGCCAGTTCTCTCCCGCCCACAAGCCCCCCCCCCGACCCCCACCCGTGTTCACAGCCCTTTTCTGGTTTTAGGCTGTTCCCGAAGAACCAGTGCAAATGTGAAGCCCCCCAAATGCAGGGAAGCTATAACTTTCAGGATGCCTATGGCCAGAGTGAACTCCCTGCGGTGAAAGCGAGGAGGCGCGCTGAATTCGAACACTTTCAGAGGAGGTAATACAGACCGTGGGGGCTCCTGGATCTCTCCTATGTCCTGAGGGTGCGGGTCCCATTGCAGGAGCCCCGGGGGCGGGGGGTGGGGGGGACTGTTAGGAATAAAGCAAAGACTGTGAACTGAGGAAACTGGTCCATATGTGAAGATGTACAAACTTTGCACACCTCGAACATTTAGTAAGAGACGAGCAAAAAAGTGAAGATGGTCTGAGGCGTCCGTGTGGTGGGTGCCACGGCCTCCATGCACCCAGGTCCTCACAGCAGGTGGCCTTGTGGTGTCACCAAGTCACACCATTAATTCATCTGTATGTTGAGACGTACTTTCCCTCTGCTGCGTGCAAGGCCCGCAATTACACACTTGGGGCGTATTGACCAGGATTGCTGGTTGAAGAGAGCAGCGATCGATCCTGGTGGGAATTTGGGGGAGGGATGTTGGGACCTCATCAAAACCAGAGGTGGTAGAAAGACCAGACTGAGGCACCAAGAATGGGGAGGAGCACGGGAAGGCTGGACAGTCCTGCTCTTCTTCCCTTCCTCCTCTTTCTTTCCTTCCTTCCTTCCTCTCTCCCTCTTCTTTCTCCCTCCCCCTTCCCTCCCTCTTCCTTTCTTCTTCCCTCCCTCCCTCTTTCCTCCCTCCCTCCCTCCCTCTTTCCTTCTTCCTTCCTTCCTTTTCCTTCTTTCCTTTTTTCCAGCAATCACTTATGAATTATGGCGGAAAGCATGCTATAACAAAACCCAAAAATAATGGAACCATGATTAGAGACTTGAACTCTGGAACAAGCTGGATGCCAAGTTACTTGACCTCCCAGTACTTAAGTATCTTTACATGAAACAGAGCAATAGAGATACTTCTCTCACAGGCTTACGAAGGCTTGTAATGAGCATTGTGTTAACATAAGAAGAGCTACTATCTCATAAAGGGTCTAAAAATATCACCTACTATTATTGTTGTGGTTTCCTATTCTTACAGCTCTTAGAGGAGATATATAACTCATTAAAAAACACACCAATCACCTAAATATTAGATCGTTATAAGTGCTCTATGGAGGTGTAAGTTAAATTAGTGTGGTAGAGTGCTACTGAAGGCATAAAATTCAATGGGAAGATGAAGGAAAGTGACCTTGAACTCTGAGTTGTATATCAGGCAAGAGTCCCCACCATCTCCTGTTAAGGAACATCTCAGAAGGAAGAGTTAATGCAGGGCCCAAAGCCGGGGCAGGTGGCGGTGGGCGGGGCGGCTTTTATAATGGCCCAAAGGTAAGAAAGCAGGTGAAGGCTATTGGAGCCTTGTAGGTCAGGGGAGGGCAGGTGACCGATGAACCCAGAGAGAGACCAGTCATTGTAAGCCAGGAAGAAGGGTGCGCATTTTGCTTTCTGAGTAGTGCAAGGAATTGAACCGTTTTGTAAACGTTCATGTATTTATTTCGAGAGAGAGAAAGAGCACGAGAACTGGGGGAGAGGCAGAGAGAGAGGAGGGGAGGGGAGAGAGAGGGAGGATCCCAAGCAGCCTCCGAGCTGTCAGCACAGAACCCCACGCAGGGCTCAGTCTCACAAACCATGGGATCATGACCTGAACCTAAATCAAGAGTCAGACGCTTAACCGGCCGAGCCACCCAGGCGCCCCAGAACTGAGCAGTTTTTAAAAGCAGCAGGTTCGTATCTGAGATACTTTTGTAAAGTCAGATTCTGGCTTTTCAGGGCAGAGCACATAGTAGGGAAGGGGTAAGGAAGGCGAGGAGGCCTGCTGCGTGGGCAGGTGGAAGGCAACTGCTCCTTGTACCGCCGGATGAATGGTCCCCAGGGGCTTAGTTGACTGAGCCTGAGTCATGAGTCAAGGAAGAGAAAGGGTGAGTAGGGCCCCTCCAGGTTTGCTTTTGGGAATCAACCACTACCTCCCCAAACTACGTACAAATAGAAGACTCCCCAGAAAAGAGATGGGGGCACCGACAAGGGGCAGTGTTGGAAGTCAAAGAGTCTGTGGATAATACAACAGGTGGCCCGTGGCGTGGATTCGAAGCCAGGCCACACCTACCTGTGCGAGGAGCCGTAGGGCTCTGTGGTTAACAGTGCGTCCTCGGCGACCCAGCCAGACGACCTTGGACAAGCTGCTTACCCTCTTCTGTAAAATGGGGACAACAATAGTACCTAGAGTTGTTGTGGCCTGTAATGAACTGATACACGGAACTGATACACGGAAGGGCTTAAAACGGTACCATGGACAGTAGAAGACATGAAGTAGAGACAGAAGACTGTATGAACAACCATAACGTGACGTGATAAGCTCTCACGCCACGCGGAAACCGCGCCTGGCTCTGTGCTCAGTACCAGCCTCTGCTTGCCTCCTGCTGGCGTGGCTCCCACGCGCTCTCCCGGTCTCTCTTTGCCACTGCCTGTGAGGTCCCCGTAGTCGGGGACGTGAGGTGCCTGACACAGAGTAGGGCTCAACGGGCATCTATAGCATGAGTGGGCGGTGGGAGGGGAAACGCGTTCGTGGAGGAGGATGGTTTCTGTCTCTGCCCAGGGCAGTGCAGGGACTGCTGGCTGAGAGAAGGCGTGCCTGTTTCCAGCGGGGTGCAAATTGCAGAAGGTGCATGGTGGGGGGCCCGGGAGAGCAGGGAGGGGGCTTTGTAGCCGCCGGAAAGTGTGAGACGGGAGATCCGAGAGGGATCGAGAGCACAGGAAGCAGGTGGCTCTTAGGAGGGGGTGCTGGTCTGGAGGGGGCCGGGTTATTAGAGGGAGCTGACTCCAAACCGGGAGGGCCGCGTCCTCACCTGCCCCTCCTTCGCATGCGGAAATGCCCAGCTCTCTTGGGATGGTCCCTGGCAACACAGGTACAAAAACAAGCAGAGCCCAGTGATCATGGCGGACGTGAGCCAGGTCTCATGTCATCGTGGAAGTAGCCAGGGAGGAAGAAGGTCAGCCCCCCAGCAGCACCTCGGAACTTTCTCAATTAGCCCAAGAAAAACATGCTGGGTCTCCTGGCCTCTCTTTGCCTCTGCCTCGTGGACTTGAGGTGCCTCATGGAGTCGCCCCCTCTGGGCAAGGGGCTGAGTTAGGTACAAGACAGAACTGATCTAGATTCTGTGCCCAGTGGAACAGAGATATAGTCAGCATCCCTTCCACCCTCCACCTCACCGTCCCGGCCGCTGCCGTGATGACACAGGGCCCCAACTCCATGCGCAGTGACTGTGAACGGGCTGTGGCCCACGGAATGTGTCCAGCAACCCTCAGCGTGGAACTCGGGAGTTCAGTCTCAAGCTCAGTGTTACAGGACCAGTCAGGGGGAGGGCTGGGGGAGGTCTTAGCAAGGAGAACAGCTTCCCATTCTGGGAATTCCAGAAGGGATTGTTCAAGAAGGTGGCATTCAGGGGCGTCTGGGTGGCTCCGTTGGTTAAACATCTGACTTCGGCTCAGGTCATGATCTCACGGTCCTCAGGTTCGAGCCCTGCGTCGGGCTCTGTGCTGACAGCTCAGAGACTGGAGCCTGCTTCGGATTCTGTGTCTCCCCTCTCTTTCTGTGCCTCCCCCACTCATGCTCCATCTCACTCTGTGTCTCCAAAATAAATAAATGTGAAAAAATTAAAAAAAAAAGAAGGTGGTATTCAGAGCTCACCTCATTTCTGTGACTGGACAGATGACCTAGGATTCTAGTTATGGGCGTCCCATCCTCCAGGAAGGGGACTTTCTTGGTCTCCTTGTCTCCTTTGTGGCACAGAGCCAACGTGATCACGCAGAGTAAATAACCCAGAATCTGCAGCCCCTGGTGAATGTCTATACCACTCTCTGGTGGGTAATAAAATGGAGATGGTTCATACCTTACATGCTTTCCGCCATGTGAGAGAATCCAGCAAATCCCCATTTGGAGATCACATTAGCCTCGGCCAGAGAGCACATGTCTGATGTGGGGAGGCATGACGGGGGTCCCGCGCCCCCGCCCCCCACCTGGATTCTCTGCTTGCTCTGTTTTTTGAGAGAGAGAGAGAGCATGAGAGCAGGGGAGGGACAGAGAGAGAGGGAGAGAGAATCCCAAGTAGGCTCTGTGCTGTCAGCCAGCCAGCCAGGTGCCCCTATTTCATTGTTTTAGAAGTTGCATTTCCCTGATTAATTTTGAAGCTGAGCACATTTCATATATGTATTCGCCATTTGTATTTTCTCTTCGCTAATTGCCCAGATACATCATTTTCCATTTTAAAATGTTATCTCTTTTTTGTGTTCTCATAAATATTTGCTACAGTAGTCTAATCTTTCTTCCAGGTGATCTAAATGATACCGTTGGCTACACTGGGTCCCTAAAGGCTGCATTTCAACCATGTTGCCTTGGTCCCTCAAAGAATCAATCTCCCTGGATTGTTATGTGCTCGCCCTTGACTGAGGTTGTTATAACAGCAAAACCATATGAAAATTGTCACAGTGTTTGCTCTGAAAATATCAAGGCAGCAAATCACGTTTCCTATGATATATTTTCTTTTTTGAGTTCAGTGTCAGGAAAAAGTTCATTTGCCTTAGGAGTTGTTTGCTTTGTCCTTTTGTTAATAAGACCAGAGTACTGATTGCCCATCCATTTATACCCTGGCAACCAGGAAGTTCACATGTGACCCTGGCATTCGGCTACCGCGGCTGGCTTGTTGGCTCCTAGGGTCTGATGATTTTGTTCCTCCTTTTTTGCTGGTTGTGATTTTGATTTCGTTTGTGCTTTGTTGTAAACTGCCTCAATTCCTTTGTGGAATTCAGGGCCGGAGGGAAGAGCAGGGGTAAAGGAGGGCAGCACAAAGCTCTGGCCTCGGGCACCACATGAAGTACTGACCAGGGAGGCACATCAGAGCGGCTGCTAACTGTTCCGGTTCTGTTCTCTGCAGAGAAGGGCTGCCCCGCTCACCGCCGCTGCTGGCTCAGCCCAACCTCCCCTTTGGGTACCCGGTCCATGGGGTAGAGGTGATGCCCCTGCACACAGTTCCCATCCCAGGTAGGTTCGTCTTCATCCGGAGCCGGGCCGGGCAGCTTTCTTAACTCCTCTGAAGCAAAAGTGGGGAGCGGAAGGGGACGGTCGGGTATGGAGTACCTCTTGTCTACGCGGCCCAATGCAGGAAGCTTGGCATGATTTCACTGAATGTTGGTTTCACCGTTTCCACCATTGGGTATCACCCTTAGTAACTGTGACCTCCCAGGGGACTCGAGGTAACAGAGAAGAGGACAGAAATCGGTGTGCCTCCAGGGCTCTCAGGATGTCATTGGCTTTTTGGTGTCCCTTGAATCATGGGAGGAGGCCAAGATGAGCCCATCTCCTGGGACAGCATACCGAAAAGAATATCTATGTCAGTTACAACGCCTCTCCACCGGGGCTTTCTAGACACTTCCCTGGTTCAGGACCACATCGCTGTGAGGTAAATGTCATTTTGCCAACTTCACAGATGACGTGGGTGAGTCATCTAAGGCCACATAGGGAGGTCATATTTGAATTAGAACTTGACTTAGTCAAATTATGGTAAAAGGGATCGATTCTAAAAGAAATACATTTCGATGAACTGCTAGTGTTTTTGAACAGTCATTTTGAAAATGACTTGATGGTTTTGGATGATTTGCCATTTTGGATGATTTGCCATTTTGGATGATTCTTTTTTTTATTGTAAAATATGCATATCCTAACATTTACCATATGAATCGTTTTTAAGCACACACGTTTGTGCCGTTAAGTACATTCTCATTGTTCTGCAATCGCCCCATCATTCCAGGACTTGATCTTCCCCATCTGAAACTCTGTACCCATTTAACATTAACTCCCTTCCCCCCACTGCCCCTGGCAACCACCGTTCAGTAGAATGCCTTGTCTCTCTGAATTTGACTATTCTCGGAACCTCGTAGAAGGATGATCCATTCCTTATCCACTGCCACCTTCCCTTCAGTAACAGAGCCGCCTGGAAAGGGCTGGATTAATTCACAGTCCCCGCCCAGTGCTGACGGTGGCCATCGGAGGCTTTAGAACCACTGGAATTTGAGGACATGGGACACCCCCTAACAGAACCCCAGGGAGAGGGGAGTGTTCAGCAAACGCCCTGGATAGGAGGGGACACCTGAAGGGATTCTGGAAAGATGTGTAGGATTCACCGGGAGGGTAGCGAGCACCAGGGAGCCATTGGTACCCTCTCAAATGGTGTTTTTTGATCCTTTTATCTGTGTCCTCCAGGTCTCCAGTTTGAAGGACAAGACGCCCCCTCCTATAAGGCAAGTCCCCTTCCCAGCCCCTTTTTGCACTTGGCATCCTGTCCACGCCCCGCTCACCACCTACGCCCCCTTCCCCAGTGGCCGCTGGTCTCAGATTTTGACAGAGCCCTTATCCAGATTAAATATCTGACATGAGTCCAAGGTGGGGAGAGGAGAAGGGGTACTTCCAGAAAGCATGATTTTCATGAACTCCAGTAGCTGGAGTTCCAAGGAGGATTTCTAAAGACCTGGGCCATCACAGATGCTGCTGCTTCTGCCTGCAAGAGGAAGCTGTGACCACGGCCACGGCCACGGCCATGGCTTCTGTGCATGTTGCCTCTGTCAGGGTGAGCTCCAGCAAGACGCTCTGTGCCCTGCCTTTCGTTCCCCACTCAACACAGCTCCAAATCCAGCTCGCACGCACGCACGTATAGCTGATGGGTGGGGTGCAAATGACATCCAGAGCCCTAATCTGAAAAGGAGTCTGGGAAATGTAGTTTTAGTTTTCCCACTCTGCACGCCAGCGGTTGGGATGGGTGATGAGTGAGCAAATCTGCAGAACTACTCAATGCTCCGATGCACTTCCCCCCTCCCAGCAAAGCACTCCCCACCCCACCTCTGCCTCTTTCCCGTACCTTCTGTACCTAAATTATTTTATATGGATCATGATAGACTTTTTGCTGATCTCCCCCACTAGAATATAAGCTTCTGGAAGGCGGAGAGTTGGTTTTATTCACGGCTCTTTTCTCAGTGCGTAGAGTTTGGATCTCGGAAAACTCCTGCCGGCTGACGAAAGTGTTTACAGCAGGCTTGACGTAATCCAGTGTGCCTTTCATAAAAGATGCCTGGTGGCACAGAGGACGAGGAGGCTGGAGAGGAGAGGAGCTTTAGGGAGTAGCAACGGGATGGAGAGAAGGGGACCGGTCCTAGCCACATGTGGAAGGTAGACCTGACAGACCCTCAGAATAGGAATGACTTCCATCGGGGACTTCAGTTGAATGGATGAAGGTGCCAGTCACGAGGCACGGAGAAGTAGGGAGAGAGTGGAAAACAGGTTTATAGAGAAAAATCAATAGTTCAGCTGCAAAGATTTAACTTTGAGTTAGTTGCCTGTGGGATTTCCTGGCAGAGCGACCAGCCAGGCAGTTAGGTCTCAGAGAGATGTGAGCTGGAGACCCACATTAAAAAATTTTTTATTTTTGAAAGACAGAGACAGCACGAGTGGGGGAGGGGCGGAGAGAGAGAGAGAGAGAGACAGACAGAATGCAAAGCAGGCTTCAGGCTCTGAGCTGTCAGCACAGAGCCTGGTGCAGGGCTTGAACCCACAAACTGTGAGCTCATGACCTGAGCCGAAGTCAGACACTTAACCGACTGAGCCACCCAGGTGCCCCTGGAGACATACGTTTTTAATCCATCAGCATATGAATGGTAGTTAAAGATGTCTTCTCTAGGAACACCTGGGTGTCTCAGCTGGTTAAGTGTAAGACTCTTGGTTTTGGTTCAGGTCATAAGCTCGAGGTTTGTGGGATCGAGCCCCATGTCGGGCTCCGTGGCTGAACAAGTGTGGAGCCTGCTTGGGATTCTTTCTCTCCCCTTTCTCTGCCCCTCCCCCATTCATGCACCTGCTCTCTCGCTCTCTCTCTGTCTCTCTAAATAAATAAATAAATAAGTGTAAATATAGGAGGAGGTAAAGCCACCTCTTCTATAATGGGTTGAGTAGGAAGAGAAAAAGGCACAGACCCAAACCCTGAAAAACTCCATTTGGAGGTCAGATTGAAAAAGAGGCAATTAATGTCCAAAGAAGTGGCCAGCGGCAGTAAGAAGGAATCTGGGAGAATGGTATCCTCTAAGCCGAGGGATAAGAGAGCAATGGCCCTTGCACACACCAAGCCCCAGTGCTTGATTCTACTTTGCTGAAGTTAGAGCTGCAACTGGCTGGGGAGCCAGACCCCAGCTTTCAGGAGCACCCGGGAGCGCCTCCTCTTTCCCTCATGTGCTCTGCCCCCTGCTGGCCGTTCCAGGTATGTGCTTTTCCTTGGATTTAGTCTTTCTCCCTCATCTACCCTAGGTCACCCTGACAGCTTCTCTGGGGACACTGAACACCCTTGCTGACATCCCGGACAGCGTGGTGCAGGGCAGAGGCCAGAAGCAACTGACCATCTCGACCAGTAACCGGAAGCTTTTGAATTTCGCCCTCCAGCACGTGACATACAGCAGCACGGTGTACCAGCTGCACAGGGTGGATGTGGGTGAGAGCCTGTCCTTGGATGGCGAAATGCTAGGGAGTGGGGGGAAGAAAACACCGGACCCTCTCCAAATCTTCCTCCTCCAGGAAGCCTGCCTACATTTAGGATTCTTTCCTTGCTCCTGTTTCCAACCCTGGGTGTCTAAACTTCCCAATTACTATACTCCACATTATCCCCATGTTGCCATTGACCCTATGGGATGACTGGAAGGCAAGAACACGTACCTCTCTGTGAGGGAAGATCATTCATACTGTACACCCGGAAACCATCAGGCCCTGTTCCCCACTGTCTGTAGCTCTCAGCTGCGGGAGGGGAGGGAAGCAGTCTGTGCATCAGTATCTTGTTCTGGGCACTAACAGGAAAGAGGGATGTGGGGGAACTCCCAGCCCCAGGGACAGTGGCTTTGGCTTCCACTCCCATCTTAGTCTCCTGCCCCCACCCCAGAAATGCCCTGAGAGAACAATTCTTGCTGGTGACAGCCCCAGTTTCTTTCTGGATGAATTCAAGTCGCTCTTTTCTCTTTTGGGGCACCTGGGTGGCTCAGTCGGTAGAGCATGCGACTTTTGTTCTCGGGGTTATGGGCTGTGGGTCGTGAGTTCGAGCCCCATGTTAGGCATAGAACTTACTTAATTTAAAAATGGGGGGGATGGTCAGCAGATTGCTCCAGAGCCAGAATACTGGCAACAACTCAGGAGCCAGAATATTGGCAGCTTTATGGGGTCCTCAGTCTTATCCCAGGCAGGACATTCTCTACCAGATCTTGACCTTTGCTTCATAAAAAAAAAAAAATTTAACATTTATTTATTTTTGAGAGAGAGGGAGAGACACAGAGTGAGAGCCGGAGAGGTACAGAGAAAGAGGAAGACATAGAATCCGAAGCAGGCTCCAGGTTCCAAGCTGTGAGCACAGAGCCTGATGTGGGTCTCAAACTCACAAACTGAGAGATCATGACCTGAGCTGAAGGTGGATGCTCAACCAACTGAACCACCCAGGTGCCCCTTTTGACCTTTACTTCAAGTCAGCTTTCCTGGGGCAGCGTGGAGAGTGAGCCAAACGCGGCACTGCCCACCTTGACCTTATTTCTCCCTCCAGTGAGTCTGGAGTCCAAGTCCTCAGTGGCAAGATTTCCAGTGATCATCCGCCATCCTGTCATCCCCAAGTTATATGACCCTGGACCAGGTGAGGTCCTTGCACCTGGGGCTTGAGGGTGGGATCCTGTAGAGCTATTGGTGAAATTCGGAAGGGATCCCCTGTGAGGTGGAGGAGGAGAATGGATGAAAATAACAGCTCCGATATGAATCCTAAAAAATAAGCTTTGCTTGGAGGGAAAAATCCTAGGACACCTTCTCCTATTATCACTTAATCATATTTAATTTATTATATGGTTGTGCTTATTTTGAAAAAATAATTAATGACAACATCTTAATAAGTAATAGTCATAAAAACAGTGGTACTAGAGCATGGCCAGATATAGCAGTGGAGTCAAGTTGGAAATCCAGAAGCAGACACGTTGGAATTTTACCATGTAATAAAGGTAGCTTTTCAGACTAAAGGGTAGAAAGATGGATTACCCAAAAAATCACATGGGACAGCTGCGGAGCTACATGGAAGATAGAAAGTTGAGTTTATCTTACTGCTCATATGAAGATAAAATCCAAATTGATCAAATATCTCATATTTTTAAGTTCTAGAAAAAATCCATGGAGCTAAAAAAAAGAAAATAAGCCTAGAGTCTAAGACCTTTCTAAATATGTCACAAAACACAAAGGCCAGAAAGGAAAGACGACACACATAAAATACATAAAATTTTTCAATGTTTTTTATGACAGAAACCCACCAAAAGCAAAGGCAAATGACAAAGAACAAATTGGGAAAAAAATATCTTCAGCACACATTAAAGTTAAAGGTTTCCTTTTCCCTGAAAGCACCTGTGAATCAATAAGAACATCTAATAAGCCAGGGCACTGGGTAGCTCAGTTAGTGGAACACACACCTCTTGCTCTGGGGGTCGGGAGTTTGAGCCTCATGCTGGGTGTAGAGATTACTTAAATAAATAAATGTTTTAAAAATATGTAATAAGCTAATGGAAAAATGTACAGCTTGATACAGATTAAATTCAGCAATACTTTCAGCCATTAAAATATATGCTCAGTCTCACGCTAAAAAAGGCACACAAATGTGAAATACATTCATATCAGAAAGGATTGGATGAGGAGTGGGGAGAAGGCATTCTCTTTTTAAATTTTTTAAAATCTTTATTTATTTTTGAGAGAAAGAGGGATGGTGCAGAGAAAGAGGGAGACACAGAATCCAAAGCAGGCTCCTGGCTCTGAGCTGTCAGCACAGAGCCCGACGCGGGGCTTGAACTCACAAACCAGGAGATCATGACCTGAGCTGAAGTTGGATGCTTAACTGACTGAGCCACCCAGGCGCCCCGGGGAGCAAGCATTTTCTTATAAACCCTTGGTGGGACGTGTACATTAGCACAGCCTTTCTGGAAGCAATTTGGCAATACCTGTCAACATTTGGGATGCAGATTCCCTTTGGGCTGGCAATTGCACTTCTAGAAATGATCATACTCCACTTACATCGATGGGAAATGACGTTTGTTTGAGGTTCTTTATTGCAGCAAAAGCCTGAGCAGTGGGATGCACTGTTTAGATCAAGGGTGGTCCATCCATATCATGAAACCCATGCAGTGGCATTCTGAAGGAGGGGGAACACAGGACGAGGGTATTTTTCTTAATGCGGGTTCAAAACGCTTTTCAAGTTACAAGCAGGTACAGAAGAGAGGGAAGAGTAAGCTACCATGTCTGTATGTAAAAAGGAAGAGAGAAAAAAAACGCACGTACATTCATTGCTTGATTAAGGAAAAACAAAAAAGAAATTGGTAACATTGGTTGTCTTCTGATTTCCTAATGGGGGGAAAGAGATGGGAAGGAATATTTTCATGGTATAACTTTCGATATATTTAGAATTTGGAACGTTGGCACTTTTTGAATGTATTATGTATATCTTCAAAATCTGTTCTATCCAAAGAGAGTCTATTCAAAATACAAACTGAATTATTATTTTTTTTAATGTTTATTTATTTTTGAAAGAGAAAGGGACAGAGAGTGAGCAGGGGAGGGGCAGAGAGAGAGGGAGACACAGAATCAGAAGCAGGCTCCAGGCTCTGAGCTGTCAACACGGAGCCCGATGCGGGGCCCAAACCCACAAACCGTGAGTTCATGACCTGAGCCAAAGTTGGATGCTTAATCGACTGAGCCATCCAGGCACCCCACAAATTGAATTGTTATTTAAGAGTAACAGCATGAAATATCCAGGGAGAAGGATTTAAAATATTTGCCTAACACAATAACTATCTCAAAAATTAGAGAAACAAGTATGAGAAATTTACATAATTTTTTTCTTTCTTGGCTTCAGGTTTGCTTTAAAGATAAGGTGTTATCTTTAGATAGAAACTTCCACAATCTTATCCCCTTATCTTTCTGCTAACAACTGTGATCACATATATCTTTCTTTTCCTTGTTTTTGTACATTCCATGTGTAAATTTCTATTCACATGCGCATGTGTGCACACACACACACGCATAGAGCATTGAGTGTGGTTCTATGCATTTTTGAGCTGTTCATAAAAGTACATAAAAGGTACAGTAGTACCTTAAAGTTCTAGATAGTGACCTTTGGTCAATCTGTGGCTTGTCGTTTGATTTTGTTTCTGGCGTCTTTGGTTGTTTGAAAGATGTATCCTTTATTGTAGTAGAATTGATTGTTTTTCTAACTTTTGCTTTTTTACTTTTTCTTTTTTAATTTTGTATTTATTTCTGAGAGAGAGAGAGCGAGCGAGCATGAACAGGGAAGGGTCAGAGAGAGAGGGAAACACAGAATCTGAAACGGGCTCAAGGGTCTGAGCTAGCTGTCAGCACTGAGCCCCATGCGGGGCTCGAACCCACGAACTGTGAGATCATGACCTGAGCTGAAGTTGCATGCTTAACTGACTGAGCCACCCAGGCGCCCCATCTAGCTTTTGCTTTTTGTGCTTTGTTCAAGAAATCCTTCCCTACCTTGAAGCCATAAAGATATTTTCCTGTATTTGTTCCCCTAAGGTATAGATTTGACTTTTCACATTTAGATATTTAATCCCCACACAAGTTATTTTTATGTGTGGTAAAGGATGCAGATCTGATTTTTCATATATGAATAGCCTATTGTCCCCCACACCATATATGAATGAATGAGTCCATCCTCCTCCATGGCTTGTGTGGTCAGACTGTCACATACCAAGATGCATATATGCAGGGGTCTGGATCTTGGCTTTGTTGGGTTGTATTGGACTGTATATCCTTGGGCCAATTCTGTAACATTTCAGGAAGCTGTATAATAAATTTTACATCTAGGGATAAATTCTATACTTCAGGATGACTGCACTCCATTGGCAGTATTTTCTCATGTCTTCTTTTTTTAATTTTTAAAAAGTGTTTTATTTATTTCTGAGAGAGAGACAGACAGACAGCGTGAGCAGGGGAGAGTCAGAGAAAGAGGGAGACACAGAATCCGAAACAGGCTCCAGGCTGTGAGCTGTCAACACAGAGCCCGATGCGGGGCTCGAACCCATGAACCGTGAGATCGTGACCTGAGCCGAAGTCGGACAATTAACCGACTGAGCCACCCAGGCACCGCCTTTCTCATGTCTTCTTGATGTTCTACTTTTCCCTTAGAATTTCAGGATCGCCTCCTCAAGGTCCTCTAAGATCCATCGAGATTTTGATTAGAATATCATAGAATTTATAGATTAATTAGAGACGAATGGACAACTTGATAAAGTTGAATATTCTCAGCCATGGATCTGGTATACCTTTCTGTATCATGGTTTCTGTTATAGTCTCTTCATAGGCTCTTCAATAATTTATTTTGTAATTTGATTCGTAAAGGAATTGCACACATTTTGTTGGATTTAGTGTTTGGTACCCTACATTTTGTATTGTTACTGTGAATTGGATCTTTTTCTTCTTTAAAGAAATTTTTTTTAATGTTTATTTACCTTTGAGAGAGAGAGAGACGGAGAGACTGAGAGACAGAGAGACAGCACATGAGTGGGGGAGGGGCAGAGAGAGAGGGTCAGACACAGAATATGAAGCAGGCTCCAGGCTCTGAGCTGTCAGCACAGAGCCCCATGTGGGGCTCGAGCCCACGAATGCGAGATTATGACCTGAGCTGAAGTTGGACGTTCAACTGACTGAGCCCCCCAGGCCCACCATATTGCTTTAAAGATTTTAAACATTCTCATGTGAAATCATTTTCGGAGTTCTCTATTATCATCTGTCTATCTGGAACGGGTTCATCTGTACATGGTAGATTTCGTGGTGGATTCGTCAGCTGTTCTGGTTCATACCTAATTTTCTTTAGGTGTTTTGTAATTTTTGTTGGTGAGCTCATCTTGAATAGGAGGTTTTGCTTGCTTGTTTTGTTTTCTCTCTCCCTTTTCTCTCCTGACTCTGTCTCATGGTGATATCGGAGTTATTGAAGAGCCAGGTGCTGAGCCTGACGGCGGCGTGCCACAGGTCATGGCTGGGAGGTGGCATCATTTCTGTCTATGCCCAGAGGTGTGTGCAGGGGTGAGAGCTTGTTCTGGGGTTCCTGGCCTGGTAGGTAGTATGTGGTGAGGGCTGGAGGGTGTGCAACCTAGTTCCATTCCGTGGCTTCTAGCAAAAAGCCCGGCTCTGGGGGCACCTGGGTGGCTCAGTCATTTAAGCATCTGATTCTTGATGGCGGCTCAGGTCATGATCTCAGTTGGTGAGATCAAGCCCCCCATTGGGCTCTGTGCCGACGTCATAGAGTCTAGTTGGGATTCTTTCCCTCCCCATCTCTCTGTGTCCCTCCTCCCTGCACAAAATAAATAAATACATAAAAAAAAAAAAAAAAAAAGCCTGGCTCTGGACCCACACATCTCTGGAGACACCTTAATTCCATCACCCCTCAGAATCAGCTTCCTCCGCTGCTTTGGATTCCAATCCAGCCCTGCTCACTCCTTCTCATTTCTGTTCCTTGGAACTAATGTGCGCTTTTGAGCATGGGTATAGCTTTGTATCTTTATTATTGCTATATATTTGGGGGGAAAAGGAATCTCCAACAGAAAGCTACACCGCCAACTTAGCCAGGAAGGAGTCCCCTACCTTGACCACATCCTATAGTAATTCATGCCCTTGGCCGTCTCTTAACTGTATAACAAAAGAACCAAGGTTGTCTTGTGGCCCAAGCAAAAGGAGGAAATGATTCACTTGACAGGCCCTTGAACATGATTTACTTGACTCTTTCCACTGAGCATCACTTTTCTCTCCCTCGCTCGGACCCAGGGGGAGCTGATGTAATGGCCAACAGGTATTCAAAGAAGAGGTCTCTGGAATAATGACTGCTGTCCTTCTGAGAAGGAGCACTGCAGTCCGGTTATGGAGCACTAGCCCACAGGCCACGGGCAGGGTGATGGCTTTCGGCACGTATTACCTCCCATGGACCCTACCCCACCCAGACACCCACAGGCTCAGTCAGCTGGAGTGGCTCTGTGTTTGGTGACTACATCCCCAAAACACAGCCAGCAGCTCCAGTTGGTTCATCATGAGGCGTTTTCCATAGAAAAGCTGTTCCTTTCCAAGTTTTTTTACGTGTCACACGTATGCCTTAAGCTGGACGATCTGGTCCAAGGCTTCTACTCTCCAAGTAGACCAACTTCCACTCATGTCTTACCCGGGAGAAAGACCAAGGGTGTTTCTCTCTAGGAGCACAGCTGGTGACAGGGCACATCTCAGGTCCTTTAGATCTTTCCTCCTCTTCCTGGGCCCCATGTCCCTCCATCTTGAACTGCTTGGTGGGTAAAGCTTTCTGTGCATCTCAACTCTGAGTATTAACAGGAAAGCAGGATGGAAGCCAAGTGCTGGCAGGCAAATATAAAGCAAAGCATTCACACAGACAGTAGGAAATGGCCCAGTGGAGCCAACAGGACAGGGAAAGAAATTCTAGAACGCAGATAGAAGTTCAACAAGTTGGATATGTTTTTAATATATTTATTTTCTATTCCAGCTAATGAACTTGTACTAAGCACTAGCTGTGTACAAGAGACATGAGTCTCACGCTGACGGGTCATGGCATCAAGAAATCACCAGAAAAAGCAAGTCGAGTCAGTGAGGCTTCCCAGGAGGCAGAACGCTGACATCCACCCTTTCTTTTTTTCTCTTTTCCAATTTGTAAAAAAAATGTATTGATTTTTAAATTTCCACCCAAGTTAGTTAGCAGATAGTGTAACAATGATTTCAGGAGTAGATTCCTTAATGCCCCTTACCCATATAACCCATCCCCCTCCCACAACCCCTCCAGCAACCCTCTGTTTGCTCTCCATATTTAAGAGTCTCTTCTGTTTTGTCGCCTTCCTTGTTTTTTTTTGTTTTTGTTTTTTTCAATTTTTTGGTTTTTTTATTTCTAGGAGAGAGAGAGAGAGACAGTGTGAGCAGGGGAGGGTCAGAGAGAGAGGGAGATACAGACTCTGAAATAGGCTCCAGGCTCTGAGCTGGCAGTCAGCACAGAGCTCGACGCGGGACTCGAACCCACGAACCGCGAGATCATGACCTAAGCGAAAGTCGGACGCTTAACCGACTAAGCCACCCAGGCGCCCCTCGCCCTCCTTGTTTTTATATTTTTGCTTCTCTTCCCTGATGTTCATCTGTTTTGTATCTTAAAGTCCTAGTATGAGTGAAGTCATATGATATTTGTCTTTCTCTGACTGACTCATTTCAGTTAGCATGATACCCTCTGGTTCCATCCACGTAGTTGCAAATGGCAAGATTTCATTCTTTTTGATTGCTGAGTAATACTCCATTGTATGTATACACCACATTTTCTTTATCCATTCATCCATCAACGGACATTTGGGCTCTTTCCATACTTTGGCTACTGTCGATAGCGCTGCTATAAACATTGGGGTGCATCTGTCCCTTCAAAACAGCACACCTGTATCCCTTGGATAAATACCTAGTAGTGCAATTGCTGGGTCATATGGTAGTTCTGTTTTTAATTCTTTGAGGAATTTTCACTGTTTTCCAAAGTGGCTGCACCAGTTTGCATTCCCACCAGCAGTGCCAAAGAGATCCTCTTTCTCTGCATCCTCGCCAACATCTGTTGTTACCAGAGTTGTTCATGTTAGCCATTCTGACAGGTGTGAGATGGCATCTCATTGTGGTTTTCATCTGTATTTCCCCGATGATGAGTGATGTTGAGCATTTTTTCATGTGTCGGTTGGCCATCTGGATGTCTTCTTTGGAGAAGTGTCTATTCATGGCATCCACCCTTTCTTGCCCAGAGAGGAAGCTCAGAGACCTGGTGACCATCGCCACCAAAACTTTCCTCCGTCCCCATAAGCTCATGGCCATGCTCCAGAGTATTCGGAAGTTCTACCCAGACTTGACTGTGATCGTGGCTGATGACAGCAAAGAGCCCTTGCAGATTAAGGACAACCATGTGGAGTATTACATCATGCCCTTTGGGAAGGTACGTCCCTCGCAGATGGGGAGGCATCTGGGTCTTGGGACTCAGAGTCAGGTCTTCCTTGGATGCAGCTGCCTGAGTGGCCTTCCCAAGAAAGCATGATTCTGGGCCAGAGGAGGTGGGACTCTTCTCTGAGTCCCATTGCTGACGCCACATTCACGGAGAAACTGGGTCCCTCTTACTTTTCTGCACTAATAAGGTGGTCAGTCTACCTTTCCCCATTCTTGATGTGGACAGTCACTAAGGTCTTTCTAAGTGACTTGAGGTGTCTGACATCTGAAAGATTCCTGCCCTGCAGATCCAGTAACAGAGAACCTCATGATCTCTATGATTCCTCCCAAGCTAGAGGTGCTCTCCCTCTTTCTTTTTCTCTCACCCCTTCCTTCAAGGACACACGGAAAGAAATGGGTATTATATATGCCATAGTGTCCCAGCCTCCAGCACCTTCTAGGCACCAGGAGGGGAAATGGAAGGAGAGCCACAGAGACTCAGTCCAGTGAAGAAGAACTCCAGCCTACCCTGTTGACCCTGGGGCCAAGAGAAGGACTTTCTGGCCTTTTCTTCACATTAGCCTTTGATTTAGGGCATCACTGTCCTTCCTCCAGCGTCTCTGAGACACAGGCTCGGTTTAGTCCAGGGGCTCTCAGCTGCTGTTTGGGGTGCAGCCCGGCTGTTGGGAATTTAGGAAGCTCCCAGGTGATTCTAACACGCGGCTGGGGCAGGCGACCACGGCTCGAACCTCATTCCACCTGCAGGGCTGGTTTGCCGGTAGGAACCTGGCCATCTCTCAGGTCACCACCAAATACGTCCTCTGGGTGGACGATGATTTCCTCTTCAACAACAAGACCAAGATCGAGGTGCTGGTGGATGTCCTAGAGAAAACGGAAGTGGACGTGGTAAGGCAGAGTTGCTGGTTTTTACCCCCGCTGCCATCTGTGGAGACAGCCAAGAGAGGGAAGGGGAGGGAAGGGAGGAAGGGGGAGGAGAGGAAGGGCTCCGGGGAGGGCGAGGGGCTGATGCAGGACTTGAATAAGCCAGAACAGCTCGGGTTGAGATTCCCATCACACTGGGAATCAGGAGGTGTGCGGCCTGTTTCTGCCTCCATATTGACTTTTCTTTGAGTGAATTACACGCCCCCTCCCTCACCTTAACCCTTGATCTATCTTTAAAATGGTGTTTCTGTATCACTTCTAACTTCTGCCCTGGATTGGTGTGAGGTGGTTCTGTCACACACCATTTATTTTTTAAATTTTATTATTTTTTAAACTTTTTTCAGTATTTATTTATATTTGAGAGAGAGAGAGAGAGACAGAGTCCAAGTGGGGGAGGGGCAGAGAGAGAGGGAGACACAGAATCCGAAGCAGGCTCCAGGCTCTGAGCTGTCAGCACAGAGCCCAACGTGGGGTTCGAACCCACAAACCACAAGATCATGACCTAAGCTAAAGTCTGATGCTTAACCAACTGAGCTACCCAGGCGCCCCTCTGTCACACACCATTTAAGAAAATGTGAACAGTATAAAGTTTTAAAAGCACACATAGCCTTATTGAGGTTAAAAGAAGAAGAACAAAGAAGGGGGCACCTGGGTGGCTCAGTCAGTTAAGCATCCGACTCTTGATTTTGGCTCAGGTCATGATCCTCGGGTTGTGAGATCGAGCCCTGCATCACGCTCTGCTCTGAGCATAGAGCCTGATTGGGAATTTCTCCTGCTCTCTCCCTTTCTCTCTCTCAAAAAAGAAAGAAGGAAGAAGAAAAGAATGAAAACATCAAAAATCATTTCATATATAGTAAAGAAAAAGGCAACTATAGTTAATAACACTGTGTTGTATTCTTGAAATGTGTGGACTAGATCTTCAATCTTCTGGCCACACACACGAAGAAGTGATGATATGCTAATTAGCTTGATTCTGGTGAGATTTTCACAATGTATCGTATATCAAAGCATCAAGTTGTACACCTTAAATATGTATAACTTAAAAATATACATGTGCAATTTTTTTAAGACATTTTTTAAAATAGTTTATTTTTGAGACAGAGAGAGACAGAACATGAACGGGGGAGGGGCAGAGAGAGAGGGAGACACAGAATCTGAAACAGGCCCCAGGCTCTGAGCTGCCAGCACAGAACCCGATGCGGGGCTTGAACCCATGAACCATGAGATCATGCCCTGAGCTGAAGTCGGATGCTTAACCGACTGAGCCACCCAGGCACCCCTATATGTGTAATTTTAATGTGTCAAAGATAGCTCAATAAAAGCTTAAAAAACAACAACAACCGGAAATGGATGGATAAGAAGGTCAGTGACATCGTGACCACAGTTATTCTTATCAAGGTGGACAGACCCCGAGGCATGGGGGTGGACTAAGATATCTCCTGGCTACTCTTCCAGAGAGCAAATTGCAGCAAATTGCAGTAGCCCCAGTGAGATAGAAAGCCTAGTTCCTGTCGTGTGAATGTCCAACCTGGACCTTGACTCCTGGGTGGCTCAGTAGGTTCAGCATCTGACCTCGGCTCAGGTCATGATCTCACTGTTCATGGGTTCGAGCCCCGCATTAGGTGCTGTGCTGACAGCTCAGAGCCTGGAGCCTGTTTCTCATTTGTGTCTCCCTCTCTCTCTGACCCTCCCCTGCTCATGCTGTCTCTCTCTCTCAGAAATAAATAAAACATTAAAAAATTATTTTTTAGAAAAAGAAAGGAATGAAAAGATCAAAGGACCCAGACAGTGTGTGGAAGGCGGTGTTGCAACAGCAAAAAGAATGTACCCAAGGGATAGTATGAAGGGTAGATACAGCACAGGTGTGCTTCTTGTTTTTATTTTTATTTTCTTTACATTTTTTAATGTTTATTTATTTTTGAGAGAGAGGGAGAGAGAGACAGAAAGAGTCCAAGAGGGGGAGGGGCAGAGAGAGAAGGAAACACAGAATACGAAGCAGGCTCCAGGCTCTGAGCCGTCAGCACAGACCCCGACACGGGGGCTCGAACCTGGGAACAGTAAGATGATGACCTGAGCCAAAGTTGGATGCTTAACCAACTGAGCCTCCCAGGTGCCCCAGGTGTGATTCCCGTACCTGATGTGGTTTGAAGTGTTGGGGTTCGGAGCTGACGGCCAAGAAAGAATTCTTGAGCCATCTTGGGTGCAAAAATGTGTTTTTATTACAGTATAAGGACAGGATCCTTAGGCAGAAAGAGCTGCATTATCAGTGTGAGGCGTGACTGATTGCCTAAGAGTTTCTATCCTATGGAGCGGAGGGTGATGTTAGGGTCCCAGGAAACTGAGTCTATAGGTTTCTGAGATTATGTTTTTCTTATAAATCATAAGGGTTGCAAACTGATGGAGACTCAGGTCCACCTGACAGTGACCTCTATTAACCATTTGTTTTCGTCTTTCTTTTCTTCTTGGGCAGGAGTGCCGAGGAATGTCACACATATCCTGTGGCGGTGGGGGTGGGGGATATTGTGGGGTGTTAACTTGTGCTTTGTCCTCAGCCTGCCTTTTGCTCCCTCGTCAGTAACTGAGGTTCAGTCCAGGAAGGCTTCCTGGTGGAGGCCTCATGAATATCAAGTCTGTGTTCTCTGACGTGCGTCTCTCCCCCCAACCTGTCAGGTAGGTGGCAGTGTGCTTGGAAATGTGTTCCAGTTTAAGCTGTTGCTGGAGAAGAGTCCGAATGGGGACTGCCTTCACCGGAGGCCAGGCTCTTTCAGACCCCTGGATGGCTTCCCCGGCTGTGTGGTGACCAGTGGCGTGGCCAACTTCTTCCTGGCCCACACGGAGCAGCTCCAGAGAGTTGGCTTCGATCCCCGCCTGCGGCGAGTGGCTCACTCAGGTGGGGGAAAAGCTGAAAGACTGAGGAAGGTTGTGGCCTCTGGACTGACCTCAGAAGTCTGTTCTTCCCAAGGGCCATGCACCGCTAGGGAGCTCACGCTGTCTCTTGCTTCCCTTCTCCCCCTCACTTTGCCTCTTATCTCCCATCAGCGGCTCCCATGTGAGACGCCCTTCCCCTGCACCTCTGTCCCCCTCTCTCTCGTTCCCTTCTTACTCCCACAGTTCGGGAGCTCGTAGTTCCGTCCAGCCTGGAAAGCTGATCTGTATCTCTCTGCCTCTCCGGCCACATCGCTGAGAAATGTAGTAATTCCTTCGCACTCACCAGCCTGGCAGGTGGCTTTGCATGGGCTCAGCCTCCCCAGGGGTATAAACTGTGCCCTGCTCCCTGCCGCTCTCTACCCCCCCCCCTGCCCCCCGCCCAGATCTGGAATATGGCCGTGGGTCTCTGGTTGTAGCTCATATTCTCCCTCTCTTCACAGAGTTCTTTATTGATGGGCTCGGGAGCCTGCTCGTGGGGTCATGCCCAGAAGTGATTATAGGTCACCAGGCCCATTCTCCAGAGACGGACCTAGAGCTGGCCAAGCTGGAGAAGGCCTACAACACATTCCGGACCAACACCAACGACCAGATCCAGTTCAAGCTTGCTCTCCACTACTTCAAGAACCATCTCCAATGTTCCACCTGAAGATGCCCGGGCGTCAGGAATGCTCTAGACTTATCGGCGGTGGGTATCCAGACAGCGCAACTGGTGGTGGGACGATCAAACTGTGGACTCCCGATAAGATGGGTGCTGGAAAGGACAAGCCGATGGGTGGGGCAGACGGGTTAGGCTCCGTTACCAGAACTACCCATCAGAGAGACTAAGTGTCATTAGAAACGGACCAATCCCCGATAAGGGCCACAGAGGCGTGTCAATGACAATCATTGTATGATGTGTTACCATTTATGTGATGCTTTCGCACACACAGCATCTTGCGTCATCCCCTTCGATCTCATGCAAAAGAGGATAGTGTGGGTTGTACCCTTGGTCGAAGGAACGGCTGCTGGGTTTTGGCAGAATTGTGCACCCAGGTTCAGAGGGTCTGAGGAGGGAAGAGCGACCAAGGCCCAGGCAGCTGAGTATGCTCGTCCGGAGCCTGGAAGACGATGGGATTCAGGAAGCAGAGAGAGGGAGAGCACTGTGGTCCGTCGTCTGCCAGAACAAATGCTTCCCTGGCATCAGACTCACTAGCTGTAAAGACATTCCAGAACGCCAGGGATTGAACTCGTACCCAGGTGCCATGGTAAACAGAATAAGTGCGGTGGCGTCTCCAGGACCTTGAGACCAATTGCTGACCACTCACGACCCTCCTCATCTGCAGAGAGGAGCCATCGCATGTTGAGGAAGGCTCTCTCTTTTATCTCTGGAGTCAGCAGATGGGCCAAGCACTGTACTGGCCCTGCCATTAGGGTTTCCACTCTTTCCTGCGGGAGATGGTCTAGGGTAGTTCAGGCTCTGAAGACGTGGCTGTGAGGGGTGAATAAAAACATCATGCAAAATGTGCCGGTGGTCCAATGATTTTGAAAAACACGGCAAGTTATATCTCTCTCTTCGAACGGTGCGATTCGCATTAGTGTGGGTGAATTAGCATGTGAATTAGCGAATTCATTCAGCCTTGCCCAGGTATGGATGTAGACTGGCCATCAGTTTTGTTTTGTTTTATTTTCTTAATTCTCCCAAACCCAGGATTGAACACAGAGCTCATTCCATTGCATATGTCATAAAGATTCTATTGCAAAAGCTTCAGCCGCTTTAACTAACATGGGCAATCATTTGGTGCTACTACATGCACTTTAGCTGCGATAACGTAGCTATATAGGAAGACGATGTTGATTTGTCCCACGCAGTCCTGCCTTTAGAACCAAGCAAGAAAAGCCATGGGCAGGATCCTGTGTGTTAGAGGACTCTGTCACTCTGTCACTCGGGGGCCGGTGCTCAGAACGAGAACAGCACACCCCGTGACTCTGGATATCCACTCCTGGCACTAACAGCGTTCAGGCTTCGGGGAAATGCTTCTCCACACGGCTGCGTCCGGGCGCACTGAAAGTCCGTGGCAGTTCTTTGGATGCAGGTAAGACTTGAGCTGCCAAATGCTTCGGTAAAAGCAAAAGACAGATGTTTTAATTTGTTAAATGCTTCCTCTCAGATCCCATAAAGACCAGGAGAGTTGTGCCGAGGACTTTGTTTTCTGGCCTTCCGTTCGTGGTTCTAAAAGCGCTGAAACATCCGTACAGTATTCACAACAACTGCGCATAGTGGCTTCTGGGACATTTAAAAATAGTTAAACTATTTGTACTCTTTAATTCTTTAAAAAAAATTTTTTTAACGTTTCTTTATTTTTTGAGAGAGAGAGAGAGACAGAGTGCAAGCGGGGAGGGGCAGAGAGAATGGGAGACACAGAATCTGAAACAGGCTCCAGGCTCTGAGCTGTCAGCACAGAGCCCGACGCGGGGCTTGAACCCACAAACTGTGAGATCATGACCTGAGCCGAAGTTGGCCGCTTAACTGACTGAGCCCCCCAGGTGCCCCAATCATCTTTTATTTTTTAATTCCTTGGATTATTGCCACTCAGTGTGCACGTCCATGGATTGGTAAGGAGCATGCAGCAAAATGTAATCGACACACGGCTTCCTTCATTGAGAAAGTCTTGCCATGAAAAGCATCAACTCAACTGAAACAACCTGCTTAAGGATGTAGATAGTGGGGCACCTGGGTGGCTCAGTCAGTTAAGCATCCGACTTCGGCTCAGGTCATGATCTCATGGTTCGTGTGTTTGAACCCCGCGTTGGCCTCTGTGCTGACAGCTAGCTCAGAGCCTGGAGCCTGTTTCGGATTCTGTGTCTCCCTCTCTCTCTGATCCTCCCCTGCTCACGCTGCCTCTCTCTCTCTCTCTCATAAATAAATAAAACATTAAAAAAAAAGGATGTAGATAGTTTTAATTCTGATATAATCTCCTTAACTCAAGGCAGAGAGGTAGCAAAAGAGCTCACATACCAGACCTCAGGGCATACTTTGAGTTAAGGGTTGACAAAATTTTTGTACAGGACAAGATGGTGAATATTTTATTTTATTTTAAAAATGTTTTATATTTAGTCTTAACAGAGACAGAGCATGAAGGGGGAGGGCCACAGAGAGAGGGAGACACAGAATCCGAAGCAGGCTCAAGGCCCTGAGCTGTCAGCACAGAGCCTGACGCGGGGCTCGAACCCACGAACCGTGAAATCACGACCTGAGCCAAAGTCGGATGCTTAATCGACTGAGCCACCCAGGCGCCCATCCCCCCTTTTTAATGAAGATGGTAAATATTTTAGATTTTGTGAGCCACTTAGGGTCTCTATCACACATTCTTTTTTTTTTTTTAATAGCCCTTTAAAATGTAAAAACAATTCTAAGCTTGTGGGGCCCAAACCAAACCATATGGGCTGTCTTCAGTCCATTGGATATAGTTTGTTGACAGATTAACATTGTCATTGGCAAAAAAAACCAAAACAAAACCAAAACAAAAAACCGAGGCGCCTGGATGGCTCAGTCGGTTAAACATCCAACTTTGGCTCAGGTCATGATCTTGCAGTTTACCGGTTTGAGCCCTGCGTTGGACTCTGCTGACAGCTTGGAGCCTGGAACGTTCCTCGGATTCTGTGTCTCCCTCTCTCTTAGCCCCTCCCCTGCTTGTGCTCTGTCTTGGTCTCTCTCTCGAAAATAAACATTAAAAAAAAAAAAAAAAAACCCAAACCCCGAAACTGTCATTGGCTACAAATTATGTGAAAAATGTTGATTATAAAAACATAGTGATTTTGTGGAAACAAAGGCAAGAAAATTAAACTGTATGTCATAAATATATGATAGATTATGAATTTATCAGGGATGATTCTGACATGCTGTGCTTGTCATCAGTATGTTCCAGGCACATTTTTCCCCCTGTCGCAAGATCTGGAACCTTCTACCCCAGAGGGGAAGGGTAGTTTGAATGGAGTTCTTATAGGGTGTTTCCTTACACCACGAGCCAATTTTCCGGGCTGATCAACTACCCAGAGAGTGTGCGACTCTACTCCCTGGTGAAAACGTATCAGACCGAGAGACTCAGGCTTCTGCACCAATGGCCAGTCAGACTGTCTCTCTTGGAAGTCAAATTGGGCCTGCGAAGCAAGGCTCTGTGGGTGGCTGGACGTCAGACGTCACACTCAAGAGCTGCAGACATGCCCCTTATGCCATGCGGACTGAGGGGCTGAGAAGCCAGCCTTGTTCACAAGGAGAAGCTGAAACGAGAGACGCCTACAGCCTTCTGGTTCTTTCCTGAGGTCTGGCTGCAGTTCTGCCCTGGGATTTTGTGAAACTATACCCTTATAATTCTTCCTTTTTGCTTAACCTAATTTGTGTAGGCTCCTCTTGCTTATAACCACAGTGTCCTGAATAATATGACCATTCTGTGTGTCCGCCTGTTTTCAAAACAGAAAAGCTTAAACAAAACGATTTCTCCGTGGGTGGTGTGGACGCAAGAATCAGGTCAGACAATCACAGCCACACAGGCCTGCCTGCAGCCTTGAGTTTCAGACACAACCGAGCAGCCCGGCCCAGGGCAACAACATGGGTTTCCTTCCAGGACAGTGAAAGACAGTGAAGTGTCCCTTAAGGTGAAGTGATGGTGAAGGAGACCAAAGCTAGTGAAGTAATCCTTGCGGATACTTTTGCTAAACACCAGATTTCAGGACGAGTTGGTGCAAATAATCGTGTTGGCCTCCAGGGGGAGCTCGAGCCTGCTCTCTCTGTTTCCCCTCTATCCACTTATTTTTGTGCCCTGCTCAGGAAAGGAACATTGCTACCATGACTTTCAAAAAAGAGGGACCTGCGGGCTCCCATGGTAGTGGCTTCTTCCTGGCTTGTGAGGGTGTGTCCATTTCACGTGGATGAACTGGACCTGGGGCTGGGATCTGCTTTGTCCTGGACACCCTCTCCTTCACCCTTAGGAAGGTCCCTCCTCAACTGTTTTTGATTTTTTTTTTTTTTTTTTACAAATAGTTTATTGTCAAATTAGTTTCCACATAACACCCAGTGCTCATCCCCACAAGTGCCCTCCTCCGTGCCCATCCCTCCTCCCCTCCACATCCATCAGTCCTCAGTGTTTGTCAGTATTCAAAAGTCTTTCATGGTTTGCCTCTCTCCCTTTCCCCCACCATTTTCCCCCTTCTTCTCCCCGTTGTTCCTCAGTTAAGTTCCTCCTAATCCTCCTATACGTGCACACATATGGTATTTGTCCTTCTCTGCCTGACTTATTTCGCTCAGCATAACACCCTCAAGGTCCATCCATGTTGCTACACATGGCCAGATTTCATTGTTTCTCATTGCCATGTAGTATTCCATGGTATAGATAAACCACATCTTCTTGATCCATTCATCCGCTGATGGACACTTAGGCTCTTTCCATGTTTTAGCTATTGTGGAGAGTGCTGCTATGAACATTGGGGTCCATGTGCTCCTATGCCTCAGCATTTCTGTATCCCTTGGGTAAATTCCTAGCAGTGCTATTGCTGGGTCACAGGGGAGTTCTATTGTTAGTTTCCTGAGGAACCTCCACACTGTTTTCCAGAGGGGCTGTACCAGTTTACATTCCCACCAACAGTGTAGGAGGGTGCCCGT